AAATGGTCTAGTTCCAGTCTAAATACTGTAATCCATATTTGTATTCCAGGTATCGTATACCTAGTAGTAAAAGCTATTTATTAGAAAAGCATTGAACAATTGAAGTCCACGTTCGTCTTTCTAGAGCCTCAAAGACCGTAAGTTAATTAATCTTGGCGAATTTACCTTGTGTCATGTTAATTACCGTGCAGTCAGTCAGCTTGGAAAGTAGACCAGCGACTTAGTACTATTCTAGCAGCAGCCTGCCTCTGTCAGATCCTCAAAAGGTCACCTTGTTATTGCTAATATTGAATATTTAAATTTATTAGAATAACTTGTGGTCGGCTAGATGTTACCCTTCGACCGTTCATTATTGCCCGTTCTATTTTATGTGCCTTATGATGATGCTATAAGTTATGAAATCGGTTAGGGTCATGAGTCAGACCAATGAGATTAATTAGATTAATTAGATTAATCATCGATGAAATTATTATATTGAAACGCGTTCTCTAACAATATCTTCACTTCCATTTCAACCTATCAATACTTCGGAAGTCCAGCGTCATTGATAAATAAATATATTATTTGATTGAATGTCCTATAATCGTTTAAACCCTTTCCAAGCTTGAGACCTGAGGATTATAATAGATGTTAGCCTCCGGCGTAGAAAAGTTATATAGAGTCACAGTAGAGTTTGAATTTCGATTTTCAATCTATAAAAACCAAAATAATTAAAACCAACTTACTTGCATAGAGTTTCGAAGCAAATTGTGGTTTTGAATATCAGTCGTTAAAGATAGGTGTTTCTCCATAGTATACATACGTTAACCAATACTTTTTGGTCAGTGTTTTCCTTACATTTTGCTTTTGTGCTGCACTTGTTTCATGTTGGCATTTATTCCTTTATTAACTGTAAAAAAGTGTATATAACCTGCAAATACACAAATAAATTAATTAGTGACACTCTCACTTGTGATCCACATTAGCGGTGGCCTCATCCATGAGCAGGATGGGGTTGTGCGAGAGGATGGCGCGAGCCAGACACACGAGCTGCCGCTGCCCCACACTCAGGTTGCTGCCGCCCTCCTCTACTGAGTGATCCAGACCATCGGGGCTAGCCTGCACCACCTCCTTCATTTGCACCTACACAAATTCAATCAATTTAATAGAGATATAAAATAACATCTGAGCAAGATTGCTTGGTTTACCTAACGAAATGCTTGGGAGGTAATACCTCTCATGAGTAATACAAAACCGAAAAATGTTATATTTCCATTCTGAAATTGATATGGGCAAAATTCATCATCGATGCAAAATTTATAACATTGAAGTACCGAAGAGATTACAAACTTATATTATAAATTTTATATGGAATCTTTACATGCATTTGCACGAATTTTAAATAGTGATATAGCCCGCTCCAGTGACAACATTATCCGTAAATGCACGCTGGAATTGAACAAAAACGCCATTACGTGAAAATTTGGGGTGTGATCAATGATAAATTCTTCTCTTCAAAACGTTTATTTTACCAGTTACAAAAGTTGCATTCATTCTGGAGAAAAAACCAATGCCTTCGCCAAAGTCACGCAATGTCGTTTGCCTGTTAAATCGCGTCTGAGTATCAAGAAATTCGGTCATATCTCAAGAACATTGTTTATGGAACATTGCAAGATAATGGAGCAGTGCAAGAGCACGCTTCCAACTGCATGATTACCTCATATTTTAGTGGATCTTCAAAAATCTTGTCATAAATTGCACGTAATAACTTGATTAGATGAAATAACCAAAACAAAACACGAGTTGTTGTGCTGGTCTGTTCAGTTTATAAGTTAACTAATCACTCCATCACTCCCACTCACTGCGTCAAGTGCATCCCATAGCTCCTCGTCAGGGTACTCGTAGAAAGGGTCCAGGTTCTTACGAAGAGGGCCATTGAAGAGTACAGGGTCCTATCAGACAGACAACGATCATAATAAATCAATCTGGGAAAAAGCTTCTATAATAATGAATTTTTTATTTGTTAGACATTCTTGTGAAAACTTTTCTAAAACAAAGCCGCATTCTTTCTATTATAAAAAATATAACTCAGCACTCACTGCAGCGAGTGACAGAGAGCGCATTTTCTCGTCGACGAAAACGTGAAGTCACGGACATACAGACAGACAGACGGACGAACGGACATGACGAGCCCAATAAGGCATTTTTTTCATATATGAGAAAATGCGCTAAAAAGGGTAAAGCGATAAGAAAGCCTATCAAATCAGCAAATAATGATTTGTTTTCTAAAAAAAATTTAAACGAAGCCTAATAGAAAATTTAATATTCTTCCATGCATGACATAAACTGTGACGTGTCAATTACTTGAGGGATGATAGAAATGTTCTTGCGAAGAGTGTGCAGCCCGAGTTTGCCGATGTCCACACCGTCGATGATGATCTCTCCCGTGGGTTCCGTTAAGCGGAACAAGCAGGAGATGAGCGACGACTTGCCGGCTCCCGTGCGGCCAACGATACCGATCTGAATTGAACATGTCAGGTAATTCTGGCGTCCGAGTTTCAGAAAGAGAAATTTGATGTAGCAAGTAAATTTAGAACACAAGACTCACTTTTTTGTAGAAAAAACAGACACGTGTGATTATTTTTTCTACGAACTTAAGACAAAAATTACTAAATTTGACTGTTTTCACAGCTTAGACAAAAATTGAGATGGGATGATGTTCACGGGTCATTGAAACGCTTTGAAGTGAAACTAAACAGCTCTCAGAATTCGATTTGTTAATTCATGAATGATCCTGTTATTTACGGTAAAAATCAACAAAATCCATACTGTGCAGTGCTAGTCGATTACAAAATTTTGAGATTGGAGTCACATACATTATGTTTTTAATGACGCTGGATAAATTTTTAAAGAAATTTTGACATGATACAAACTTTGTGTTAATCGTAATAATATTTCTATCATGGTGTATTCAAATGATAAATCGAGAAGACGTACTTTCTCTCCCGAGGCTATATTAAATGAGACGTTCCTCAGCACCAAAGGCAGGTGCTCGTCATAGCGAAGGCTCACGTTCCTGAACTCAATCTCTCCAGAGCTTGGCCAATCTGACTTCAGGTTGTCGTCTGGAATCAAAGTTAAAATTTTATTTGAAGTTTTACAGGTTAATGTGTAAATACTGAATTTCGATCAGCGTTTGGTCAACTATCTTGTCTATAAGTGAAGTATTTTACAGACTAATTAGAAGGAAAAAAAGTGGAACAGAAGTGTAAACAGATCGTTGGGACACGGCAATCGCCAATTTAAAAACCAGAATGTTTATAGTTTGAAACTGAGTTTATATCGGCAGAGCACATGCGATTTTTTCATGAAATAAGCCTTTTCTATGATTTTTATGACTGGTTAAGTAGATACATTCGATTTTACAAGAGTTTTTAATAACCTCGAGTGTTCTATACGTCACACAGGCCGTTGGTTTACTATACACCCAGCTAGGGTTAGGTTTTCAATAGTTGCTCGGAATAGATTAGGCTGTTTGAGAATCGCATTGTTTCGAATTCTGTTTAATAAAATCCCGTCATTCCTAAATCCATCGTCCAGAATTCATTTCATAATTTTTTAAACAACTGGAAGGCAATTAAAGAGACGCCAACATTCTGTACGAAACTCCTTTGGCACTCCCGTTTGGAAATTACGAAAATAATATCTGGACTCCAATCCAATACAATATCTAATCTATAATACCTCGATTCGATTATTATCGTGGATAGTGTATACTCGCTCGATTAACCCAAATAAATATCCAAAACGTGCACTGGCAAACTGTCAAACTTTGAAAATTATGTATAAGATTATAACCCTGTTCCTCATTCCTGAATAAATAAAACTCTACAGGCTTTTTGTTGGACAATCTTTTTTTAATAATAATTTTTATGACGGCTCGAAGAAACAATTTTAACACAATGAGGTTTACCTGCTAATATATGGCTATCAATTATTATTATTGTTATTGGAATTCTACTCGCCAAACATTGGAATGAAACTTGGCTCGGTTCATGAGTTATCTGATATTTCGAGCATCAGACGTGTTGTGTTTCTGCTATCTAACTTAATTTAGTTTAACCTTGAGCTTGCTTCATTACAGATATTTTTGGATAGTAAGGGGTTTTGAGTTCTCGTACTACTCATTATAGAGGGATTTTATGTTGTGTCTTGGATTTCGGTAAGCTATACTCAAGTAATGAACTAGCTCCGAAAAGGTGTATGCTTTATTGCATAACATTCTCCATTTGTGTTCAATGGCTACAACTCCACCGCCCAGTCGTCAGCAGACTTCTTATCTACTGTATGACTAACCTTCATCTGTGACAAGTGGTTGCTCTGGTTGCAGTTCACTGAACTCGAGCACCCTCTCCACAGATGTCATCTGGTTTTCGACCTCGGCCGACTGCCGAACTCCCCACTGAAGAGTGTTGGTGAGCATCAGTGAGCAGTAGATAGCTAACCCCACATCTCCACTCCGTTGATCTGATTGTTGACACAGAAATTATAATGTCACCATCTCATGAAATATTGGAAGTGGATGGCGTAGAAATGTTTCCTGATAAGTAGAACAATAGGGCGGCCCAGTGTTACAGTTCAGAGTACCAGGATTTGCGCAGAGAGGCGCGGGTTCAATCCCATGCAGGTCTGTGCCCCAGTTTCTGGTCTGAACTCCGAATCGGCGAGGAGGCCGGGCGGTTTATGCACATCAGAATTGTAGCAGTGAGTTGCGAGTTCGAGACCGCAAAATGCCGTGAATGTTCTGCGATGTTAAGAATCGGCGACAGGCCTACAGCCTACTAAATCTGAAACAGCTATTAATAATAGCATACAAATTTTGGCAACCATCGCAGTTCTATGTAAAATCCGCTTATATCCTCGAAGTTCCAATGCCACCTTATATACTCATCTAAGCACCACCACACCATCCTGTTCTGAGTGCGCATCTCACGGCCACGCCTACACACAATGCAACTCATAAAAAATGCCTCAATTGCCAACTAGAACACAGGAAATTTATATGGACCATCTGCCATACAGGGGAAAACCATTTTTAACAAACAAAAACAACATCAGACCAAGAAATAAGTATAGCACTACAATTGTAGACAGAAATAGTCAAACATGCAATAAAACAGACCAACATCCCTCAACACACCCTTACTCTCACCAACACAACTCAAATCAAACTATCAGCTTTATTACCAGACACATATATCGCCTGCCTTACAAGACAGTGATTTGTATAAATTTTCTCAAAATCACTGAAAGCAAATCGATGCCACCTTCCCTGACCGTGAATCAATCAGAGATATTTATCTTTTTCTATAACTAACAAAAGAGCAAAGCACACTCAGACAAATCACTGCAACCTGAGAACCGAATTTATTGATGACCACGACATTAGACAGTCCACGCTAAGCCTACTACTAACCGCAGATAGACAATGTAATTCCGAAAACGAGTTCTTTACCATTGCCAGCCAACATCCATTACGGAGACCGCGAAAGCTTGGCTTCATCATAGAAAGCGAAAAATAAGCGACGACTAGTACAAGTAACCACATATTCCGATGTCAGCACATGACGAAACAATATCAGTCAGTCTATCAAGTAGTGGAAAAGACACCAACCCAATTCCAGAAGTCTTTAAAAAAATCTGGTACATTAGAGAAATAAGAAAGAAACGGACGGATATACGGACTGACGCTTTCGGTAAAACTTCGAAACTCCCCCCAAATAATTGACTATTTGAGACGCGAAAAACTAAAATTCAACAAGCCCACAATCTATTTTATCAATAATACACCTGAATACATAAACACAACAAAAACCACAAAAACATCCCAATTCAAACATCTTTGCTTAAAATGATCCGCCACTGTTCACAAAAGCAACAACACAATGTCCGTTACTGATACAACAATAAATTTACAAACTTGGCAGGACCTCGTCAACACTCAAGAAACACAAACCGATCCTCAAAAGTTCTAGTCTTACCTCAAACGTATTTGCTTACTTCCAACACAAAACTAGCCGTACCATCCTTCTAAAACAGCAATACAAAACAGAACTCACCATAATAAAATGAAACCATCTTTCGCTGATATCTAACACATTCATTGGCAACATTCACTATCCATACACGAACAAAATAACGGTCTTTATACTCGCAACACACAGTTGTAGGTCCCAGATACCAGTCAGAAAAGCAATTGCAATCACTAATTTACGGAGAATACTCAAATTTTTATCATTTTCCATCCAACACGAAACACATCATTTACCACATCTTTGTTATATTGTCTCACATATACCCCTCAATACAATACCCTCAATGTACGATATTAACCTCAATATTTTACCCTTCAATACATCTCTTTCAAAACATCAATATCCCAACTACCGAAAATACGAAACAAGGCCCTGAATTTCATCACAAATAAACATTAGTCCTAATTCATACATCACAAAACACTACACAAACAATACGACCTCCCCTCCTATACACACAGACTTTCATCAACAAGCGTGTAAAACATGGTTCATCATCAAAATGCGACCCACTGATTTTCAATCAACTCTCATTCCGTCCAAACGCTGCTGCAGGGCAGCACCTGTCATTTTAGAGCTACAAATGCCCACACTAGTTCCAACCCCTGTACATCTAACCGCTCACCTCACACTTGACAACCACATACAAGGTTGCTACTTTCTATATACCCTGCGTTTGTAATTTTTTACATTTATTGAACAACATAGAGTTTAATACCATAATGCATTAAAAAATAATTTTCTCCTGTTGCGCCATAACATTATTAATTTTATGACTCCTCTGGAACAACATGTTACAATATATAAAAACGGTTGCTCCAACGACAAACATTGAGCAGAGAGACACGCGATGACAACGCAGGCGATGAAGCAGGACGAGAGTCCATCCAGTGCCAGTCCGTACCACTGAGTAACTGCCAGCATGAGGGACCAAGAAGACGTGTGTAAATCCTGCACAACGACAAGGGTCGGGAAGGTGCGCTACGTCCTTGTATGCTCTAAAATATATCAAGGTGGAGTTGTTTTCATTTTTTCAGAAGAAGCAATAAAAAAGCATCACAGAGGGGATAAACAATTGTCAGTTCGAAAAATTCGGAGGAAAGTTGAAGCTTCAAAATAAGTGCGTCATATTCGCATGAAATAATTAATCCATTAATTATCGAGTTTCCGAATAAGAAATTTGAATTAAAACATTTTTAACAGCATGGAAGGATGTTAGAGGCTCAGCTCAATTAAACCTGAATTTTGAAATTCATAATAAGGTAATTTATAATTCTTTTCATAGATTAGTTTGAACTTGATTTTATTCAGCAAACACTCATTCGCTATTGAAAATGTTGATTGATTCTTCTTGAAGTTGGAGGTACGGAGCCTGCATCACCTTTCAAAAGTCAGGTTCGTAATGGTTGTTTTGGAAGTAAACAAGGGAGCTAAAACATTCCTTAAGATGAGAAGTAACTTTTATATCGATAGTATTAATGTGCAACCTGAAATTTATCATCGATGTAAAACTGGACTACCATTCTAATAGGAATCTTTAATTCTGTCCCAATTAATATGTGCTTGAATTTTAAAATCGAACACTCGTAATATTTTTTTTATTGAAAAGTAACTGTGAACCAATTCTCTTTATACTTACTCGTTTAGATAGCGATAAATGAGAAAATGTAGAATATAGGTTTCTACAGCCAACGAGTCCAAACAACGCTACCTGGATGTCATCGAAGTCTTTGACGAAGGAGTCCTGAGCCTGGAATGCCCTGATGGTGGTCAAGCCGTGCAGAGACGTGCTCAGGTGGGAGAACACCGGGCTGCGCGCTGGAGTTAAGTGACCAATGATTAAAAAAATGACAACGCCAAGTATCTTCATCATACCTTCATTTTAAATCATTTCGAAGATCAATTACATCTTAGGTACCAAAATTTGGAGAATTTTTCTTTCTGTGATTGTGCTTGTATTCTCCAACTTCTTGAAATGATGATGGAGTTGGTAATTGAAAAATTTTCGAAGAACTCTTAGTGAAGTCATATTAGATTCTCGATAAATTTGTGTTTCAAGCAGACTAATGATCGAGTCACGTTATTTATATCGAATCATCCGATCGTTTTTTTCATAAATTTACCAAGAACGAATGAATGATTAGTTTGGGATCTAAGTAAGATATGATCAAATACCAGATTCTGCGTAATGTTTGGATCATCTCCACAAGATGGAATGATATATTTTAATCCAAGATGCAAAATATCCTGATGTCGTTTCATTCTATCTACGGAACATTTTTGGCTCAAGTGGAAGACATTTCTAAAGCTGTCTGATTTTCTGATATGCTCAGGATGGCTCGTTTTGAAGAACCTCCGCCATTGTCCGAATTTTGTTGTTGTAAAAGGAATGTGACATGGTGGATTCGACACGAGCTGAGATATAATACGATACAATAATACGATCTATAACCTAGATTAAAATGTGAAAAGGAGATGGTGAGACCTTATATCGGCGAGCCAGCATGATTCATTCACTCAATGACGCAATAATTTGAGCGGTTCCGTGATAACTCATCATTGTTACATTTCATCCTTGACAAATTTCATTACTTTAACAATTCATCATTGAACATTTCACCATTAATTGACATCTTTCATCACTATAGCAATATATCATTGAACACTTAATCACTGATCACTGAATCATTGATCATTACATCATTGAACAGTAGTGAGAAGCTCCACAAAAAGAATTAAATATTCAAACAATGCTCAAGTCTCACTGATTCCTTCCAGTCTCTTGATGTCTCGAGCGGAGTGCAGATAAAGTCGTCGCAAGAAGATAAGAGCGACGCCAAGTGCGACGGTGGGGATGAGAAGGTAAGGGTTGATGAACACGACCATAGCGATGATTCCCGTCATGTTCAATAAGATCTGACGAGCGGAGGACAGATTTGAATGCAGTGGAAGTTATTTGGTTTTTACTGCCCCGGTTTTCATTAATATTTCAGTCATTCACCTTCTTCCTGCTTAGAGATCATTAGAGTTGATCAGAACTCAATGAAACGAGAAATGCATAATAAGTAAGTCGGTTAGCGAGTAAGCACAGACATTTATCAGGGAAGAGTGTGCAAAAATTGAATTAATTAACGAGCAGTTATCGCTAAAGCAACGGTGAAGCGTCACGATCTTCTGGTAAATATCCAAAATCTTGCTTTTCGAGTCCCAAAAATAATTGCAGTATATAAAAAGGGGTTGAAAAATCTCAACGAACTTTCATATGAAAATCATGATTGTAGAGATACCGCCCATTGTCACGTTTTGATGCTTCCTATGTGCGAAGTGAATGTTCTTCTTTGGCACAAATGAAACAAAATTGTAAATTTTTCGTGGTTGTTCGTTTTTCTTGCGGACACGTTTATACAAATATCGTCAAATATCGACCCGTATTGTCCTACGTTTCTCGCATACTAAATTCGCGACAAAACTATTTTGCTACGTCCTCACTCATGAAAGTTACGTAAATTGTATATTCAGACGCAAATACATCATTTTTTTAATTATAATAATTTACTTAATTTAAGCAGAATGGATAAAAGAATTGCTGATTGTGTACACGAATTTTCATGACAATCATGTATATATGCCATCTTATTTTTGATGCTATCCTTGGCATTATAGGTTTGCGGTACACCACCGTCTCTATCCTTCTCTTCAAGTCACCATCAAAGCATGAGGACTTATTGAAATATTTCTCGTTACAGAACGAAATAATTGGAGATGTCATGTAGAACCTGGGAACACAGCTTTCCACCACAGGAGTGAAAAAAATAAAGAATTATAATGAAATGGATTCAAATTTGGTCTGAATTTTAATCCCATTCTAAATTGTGATAGCTACGTGATGCAGGTATCGTTAATAACTCGCATAAAAACTCAGAATTCAAACTAGTGTTTGAGATTCCTGCTATCATTTTACTGGAGCTAAAGCTCGAAAATCTGACATGTGCCCATTTTGTGGACATGAATTGATTGCATAAATTACTGAAATAAATATTGAAATAGATTTTATATACAATTTAATTTCAAATTATGATTGATCAAGTAGAGTTGAGCATAGTTGGAAGCAAATGATATTTTATGACTGCAGAGCGGTCAAGGGTAGATGGTTTCTGCCGTTCCTCGCTATATGAATATCGTACTTTGGAAACAAGATCGATTTTCAACATTTGACTTTAAAACGCAGTTATTTCTTCAACCATGTTCACTACAAAAGCATTATAACGAAACGAAAGACTTACTTCCAGAAAGTCCCATAGGCACATAGGCAGTTGGTCATCAATTTGTCCCATATCTTTGGTGAAACGATTCAGCACCTCACCTGTAGCATCAACACAGTTTTGGGTTTGTTTGAGGTACTTCTCTTCTTATAGTTCTTTTTACCATGAGTTACCAGTTTAACTAATATCTTATAAGTATTTTATAAGCAGAATAGAAACTTCGAATAAAGCACCAACCGAAAATTTTCTAAAAAATTTTCTCCAAAAGAGTAGGTACCTTGTTTTATACTAACAATCTGAAAGAAGTTATCTAAATGTTTTCAAATAGGTTTATGAATTAGAAAATTGAATCCTAACATACTTATTGAAATGAAGTGCTTGGCTTACAGGACATTCTCTCTTAATCAGCTGCATTTACTATATTTAAAAGTGAGTTACCAATTGGGTGAGTGTCGAAGTATCTCATGGGCGCGCGGACGACTGCTTGAAACATTTTGTCGTGCAGGCGTCGTGACGACACACAACACATCATGAAGAATAACACCGTCCGGCCCAGAGATAGAATGAACACGGCACCCACCAGTGCTGCTCATGGTAAGTTGCATATTCAATAAATATTTCACTTTTGCGCAATATTCTGTCATGGGCAATCAGTGCTAGAATTCGTGTCAAACCAGACAGCCAAACAATAATTTACACAACTAAAAGCTAATCTTCGTGCCTGAACTATACTGAAAATATCAAACTACTTGTGGGAAATAAATATTCTCTTGACTATCGAATAAATCTTGAATATCGTGTAAATTGATTAAATACTCTACAGCTGAAGCCTGATTTCAATAGATCTATGTTATTTGATAAAATGCTTATATAAATAGACGTAACTCCAATTGATGGTATTATCAAAGCATTTTGCGCCAAGTTATAGACAAAAATTTGTTAATAACAGTTCGTAGTTTGCGTGAGTGGAGTTAAGCACAACTTTTTAGAGAGTGAAGTGATTGGAACTCGTCGAGTTACTAATAAAAGCGCGAATTGTTGAAGACTTATGTACAGTTTATATACAAACAAATGATGAATATTAGTGCTCTTAGTGCACAAACGACGGAACTTTACTTCTTATACGGCACATGAATTGAATGGACAGGAAAAATGCCAAGTAATAAGAAATTGCTAGCAAATCATCCATGCGACAAGACTTTTCGATTCGAGTCACTGATATGCGGAACAGGCGCCCTGCCGTTGCATCTTTTACCCTCCGAGCATGCACGCGTTCAAGAACAGACTAGATGAAGCTATGCAGGAGCATTCATTTCGCCTATAGAAGTGCCTCCCACCTTACAAATTGGCGAATTTTCAGCAGCTACTTAGCTTTAACGTTAGCTTTGGATAGATCTGGTCAATAGGCCAGTCCTCAGATCTCCAGGAGACTTGTCATGAGCATTTTAAGAATCGAGGTCAACAGGTCAACAGGGCCTATCCTTCAACGCAGATAGTGTGTCTCTTAAGTTATCTTAACTCGCTTAGTAACTTTGGTTAGACAAGCAGATACGGACGTACACAAAGAAACTATAATTCAATAAATAATTCATCATTGAAGCACGACACCTAAGTTTGACTTTTTAGTATCAGGAAATTGATTATCTCCAGCCAAGTGACAAATTTCAGCCTAAGCAGACAATGGGGACACCATTTTAATTAAAAATACCAACCGTAGCATCATTCTCCTCTCATGGAACCCGAAATCTCATTAATCTAACGATGAACGAACATCATTTATTTTTGACGATGATAATCATGCACAATGGTTTACCTTCAACCTAAAGCATTAAATGTACGAATATGAAGCCTATTTCAGGACAGAGCGTCAAAGAAATAAAAAATTCACTACCTTACCTCCATAGACTTGCAGAAAAATTAATGGTGGTAATGTGAAACCAATTTCGCGAATGCCGTTGCCTGCACAGCGAGTTGTTTCCCCTTCAAGCGCATTAGTCCTGAAACATTGAATAACTAATTAATTTGCAATTTTACCAATGAAAATTTGGTTAGCAAATTTTGAAAAGAATCAATTACTCATTTATTAGTGATCAGAAACTCTAGAGTTTTATGACCGTCAGTCAAAAATGTCAACTCACTAGCTTCATTTCAGCTTTTTTGGTTCTACTCGTAATTTTGTTGAATCATCGTTCCTTAATATTCAGTATACTCCTTATAGTGAAGTTTGGGTGTTACTGCAGAGCATCTGCACCACCAACAAGTTCAAGCCTCATCTACGCTCCTGGGACCGGAAAACAGTACACGTAAACAGAAACACGTAAACAGAAAACAGAAACACGTAAGTACTTACGCAGTGCGTAAGTACTGCTAAATAGACGTAACTCCAATTGGTGGTATTATCAGAGCATTCTGCGCCAAGTTATGGCCAAGAATTTGTTCATATCAGTTCGTAGTTTGCGTAAGTGGAGTTGCGCACAACTTTTTAGAGGGTGAAGTGATTGGAACTCGTCAAGTTACTAATAAAAGCGCGAATTGTTAAAGTCTTATGTTTATATATAAACAAATGATAAATATTAGTGCTATTAGTGTACAAATTGTAATCGTTTTCATGCCAGGGACTTATTGGTTTCCATTCGCGTTGGAAATTACAAGTAATGTAATTCTCTAAATCCCTGAGTTAAATCCTTAATCATTCACTGAAATCATATCAATATTCATTTTCGAAGCCAAATTACATAGAGCTTAATTGTCCAGCCAAAAATTTTTTCAGCTTCAATGATTTATTTCAGTCTTTCATTTCACTGTCATCAATTAATACAAGTGCGTAAGACTGTAGATTTTCCACTAAGATAAATCCTTACCAAGAAAACTACTAATTTTTTGTTCCTGACGAATAGCATTAGTCATGCATTTATGCACTTTTTCCCCGATCTTATGATAAAAATTATTCTTATGCGATGGAGCAAGACTATGTTTACCAAGACGCAATCACAATTGTTGATTTTTTATGTAAACATTTGAAAGCCAGTCAACTTAATGAGCACTAGATATATTGATTCATGTTACGTGTCTCTAATCTTCGGCCATAGAATCCAGAATTACTAAATTACGGTTTATTCATGCTAGGCTGCTCTTCATATGTTTGATTAATAAATTCTCCAGTAATAATTTCATCTACTCCAAACTTACGAACCGCATAACCTTGACAATTAAATCATACTTATTATTATTTAAGTGTTTAGCTTTCCAGAAACAGAATTTACGGGCAAAACTTTGGAGTATAAACGTCTAGGATCCATGATGTAACAAATAAAAATTTTGAACACACACCACATACAACACAGTACCCAATCTGCTTGTCGGCATGGGATTCCAAATGTAAACAAAGAATGAAAGCTAGCCTCTGATTGGCTGTTTAGCCACATGGCTGATTAAACCATTTTAATAAGTCTTGTGTATGTAAATTTTGATAATGCGAAATCGGACTACTTAGCCACTTCGTAAGTTTTTGAGCGCAAATATAAAAAGTTACGTATACTTAGCGATGCTTTGATAATCCAGCCCTAGTTCAGTTGTAAATTTAATTATCATCTTTGATGTTAAAGGTCCTGCCAAGTATATTAAAGCAGTGACATGAGTTTTTGCCTTTGTCTTAACATATTAAATCAACTAATGGCCTTAAACTTCATTCCAGCGCCATTATCAGCCCAATGGGACTAAAATAAATATAATGCTGACCTATGGGGCAGAAATGGATTAAATACTCTACAGCTGAAGCCTGTTTTCAATAGATCTATATTATTTGATAAAATGCTTATATAAATATGTAAAAAAACATGTTTATAAATGAAAATATAGCCGAGAATACAGCATCCACAGCATCCGTGACCAAAAAATTAAATCCTGATGTAATGATCTAAAGGCTTTCATGTCCCTAGTTCACAACGAATTCAAGTGATTAATAATTTTCGTTTGAAAGACGCCTGCTTTCTCCAATTAAATACTGGGGTTGACTAAAAGCATTATGAGTATTTTCAACTGATTCAGAGTGCCCCGCTCATGTCAATCCGCCGCAAAATATCCTCCGAATCACAAGGACGCCTTTTGGTCACGTCAAATATCGTCGTAAATTTCTTCACAAAGTATATTGCCGTGGTTGATGAACTTATAACTCACCACATTTTGCGGCCTACAAGCGTCTTTGAATGAGAAGCTAGAGCTTTTGAATTTATTCGAATAATGATTTGTATGGTTTATTTGTCAACAAAGTGTCAGCGAACAATATAGTGTCGCGAATAGTTGAACGATTTCTGTGACTCGAATGTGCAAAAAAGTTTAAAAACGTGTAAAAAAGTTAAACTTATGACACTTTTGACTTACTACATTTGAATTTCTAGAAAGTTCTATTAGCGGGCTAGAAAATCAGTAAATTAATAGTATATGCAACAGTTGAATGCAAATCGGCCAGAAATATATTTGGTCCAACATTTTCGAAATATATATAGCTCACCATAACGCGAGCCAAAAATCTGATCCCGAGTAAGCAACTTGAGTGATGAGGTTCGACAGAATGAGAAGAATGAGCCACGCCATGGATCCGCCGTTGAGGAAGTATTGTAGATACACGGCTGAAGAGACAGAGCCCACCGAACGCTTTTCCTCTCGTGGAACGATGGGTATGTCTTCTGCAGATTTCTCCTGAGTCAAAGCAATGCGCGTCAGTTTTGCTAACTTTTGCTTTTGCATACCAATCTATGCATGTGGAACATTATAGCTTTGTGGCTACTTATAGTGCGGTTCTGGTGTCCATTGTTCTGTGTTCGCCTATATAATGTTGTACTAAAATCATGCATTTGTGTTATTGCTCATATTCTCTTCATCCTCATGCTCCCTCCTCACACCGCGAACCCGACGGGTTTGTCCTAGAGGGCTTCGTAGTAGAAGACGCTACCGCAATTGATAAACCCTAGGAAAGTGACTGAAGCATTTATCTAAAATTCTAAATGAACACCATCAGACTCCGACGTCCCCAACATATAGGGTGGATAGGGAGGTTAGGTTAGGTTAGGTTCGGTTACGATACACTTACCTGTTCTTATATGCGCAAAATGCACTTCATGCGATAAGGAAATGTTGATGAAATGTGTCAATGATGAAATGTGTCAATGATGAAATGTGTCAATGATGAAATATGTCAATGATGAAATGTGTCAATGATGAAATGTGTCAATGATGAAATATGTCTACGATGAAATGTGTCAACGATGAAATGTGTCAGTGACGAAATGTATCAACGATGAAATGTGTCAATGATGAAGTGTGTCAACGATGAAATGTGTCTACGATGAAATGTGTCAACGATGAAATGTGTCAGTGACGAAATGTATCAACGATGAAATGTGTCAATGATGAAGTGTGTCAATGATGAAATATGTCTATGATGAAATGTGTCAATGATGAAATGCGTCAATGATTAAATGTGTCAATGATGAAATGTGTCAACGATGAAATGTGTCAACGATGAAATGTGTCAGTGATGAAATGCATCAGTGATGAAACGCGTCAGTGATTGAATACGTCAATGATGTAACGCTCAATGATGAATTGCTATTGTGATGAAATGTCTCTTGTATGTCGGGGAGTGTTCTTTTCTATTTCTTTTTCTGGTCGCTCCGTGCTTTCGAAGAGTGAAACATTCGGAAGAAATAAAAATATCAACTCAATGGAAACATATTGTGCTTATTTGGAGCTGTTATATCGATTGGACGTTCGTCAATAATGTTTAATAACAATAAGTTTCACCTAATTAGAAATTTCATTACCCGTAAATTTTCCGAAGACCGACGAAACATCCGATAATTTTTTTCGTCCGAAACACCAGAGAGGACAGCGCTGCCATACTGAGGGACAGTCGGAGCTTCTTCAAGGAAAACAGAGGGATACTATTTATCTCAGGAACTTTGGATATTTTTCAATAAAAAAGAAACAAAACATTCATGAATAATACCATTTATAGTAGTCTAAGAGTCTAAAATTTTCACCCATCCAGCAGATTACTCTTATATTGAAGAAAAGAATAATTGCGTTGACGAAGGCTTCACGACGGATGAATACTAGAGCAATCTGGTCTACATAAAAATAGTCCATTTCCTAAATAGATTTTGTATGATTCCTCAATTCTTCAGTAAATATATTGCAATGTATTTCCTTCATTAAAAATAGCTTTCTATCAAACTTTACCCAAACCTTGTTAATTTCACGTCTATTCAAATTATATCACTGTATTCCAAAATTCCGCAAGGTTTAGGAAGACAAGATTGCTAGGCTCAATAACTGGAATCGAAATATAAAATGATGGATTGTTGAGCCTTTAACCAAGTAGACTGAGGCTCATTAAGACAGTGCATTCTTCTAAATAACAATTGTTAGACGTACATATATCTAGGAGATAAGTGGGGGTATTATCTTAACTACATTCCCCACGAATGCCATTTTACTTCCATTCATCCGTCTTTTAAAGCATATATAACAAAAAATTTAAAATTAAAAGAAAATCGTCCATGTTGAGATTTCAACATTATTGGCATTTAAATCATTTGCGATATGTAAGGGGAGATGTGAAAGTTGTGCACTAAAATGTCGTTAATTGCGCATGCAAACCTCGTTTGAGAATGTTGAAGGTAGGTCGAAGTGAAGATGCTCGAGACGATGTCGCTTGAGCTCCAACGCCAAGCAGCATTTCGAGGTCGATGTTGCTTCTCTGTAATTCGTTGTACGGGCCAACAAACGCACATTTTCCCTGTGTTTATATGAAATAAAATTTAATGTGTAAAAAAGTTACTCTTTAACAATTCAAAGTAAAATTGCCACAAATGTACAGTAATTCATCGCTAAACCGCGTTTATATAGCCCACCGCGGCTTCACTTCATCGAGGCCTTCCAAGAAATGTTGATCGATAATGAAAATTGAAGCTCATTTGTCTCATGAGAAGGCCAATGCCAAAAAACGACTTTTCAGCGGAAGTACTCTAAAGTTGAAATGGAGACTAAGTCGAACTTTTGGATACGAGAGCGACGCCTTCGCTACCGTGTCAGATAAAGCTGGAAAGAATTGTATTCAAACTTTGACTCTGGATGAAAATAAAATCCAGACCCTTGATTGTTCAACAATTCAGCAAAGTAATTATTCTTCATCGTGGCATAATGAACATACAAAAAGACTGACCGCTTCTAACTTCGGGGCGGTGTGCAAATTGAGAAAAACCACTAATAAGGATTTGGTGGCCTACAGAATAATGAATGGCTTGACTTGTTCGCTGCCTGCCTTAGCGTGGGGTCGAGAGAGGGAAACTTCAGAGATGAAGGCTTGCAAAATAAAATGGGTATCACAGTGAATAGATGCGATTTTTTCGCAGACAAAGGTTTTCCATATTTAGGTGCATCCCCAGACGGTCTCGTGGATCATGACCATGTTATTGAAATCAAGTGTTCAAGCTCTGTACGTTATTTCAAGACAAATAATATGCTACCCTTGCTAAAAAATGTAATCATTTGAAAGTCGTTGACGATCAAATACTACTGAACAGAAGGCATTCCTAATTCTTGCAAGAAGTCAGATGAAAGTAAATGTTACGACGAAGTAACATTTACTTCGTCCAGGTCACGAAGTGAATGTTACTTCGTGACCTGGATACCATTTTGTATACAGATATGCAAAAATCAACATAAAACAGTATTTTTTTATCGTGTCTTATGTTGATTTTGAATCGATATTTTGGCTCAAGCGGATGAAAGTGCAGCTTAAAAATGTCTAGTTAAACAACATGTTACCTTGCATCGTCAAAGATGTGCAAATGTTGAATATTTGTTAGACTGGTCATTGTGTATTCAGTCGAGCAACCCCCGATGATATGGAATAAGAGCCTCACAATATTTCAGCCCCATACCCACCCTCTCCAAAGAACCCTACTGCGGTTCTACAACTTTCCCTTCTGTCTCCACCCCGCTGCTGCCGTACTCCTTACCCCCCTCCCCCCACAGGCCTTCTTATCGGGCAGTGCTGACAGGCTGCAAACATTGAGGCACTTCATGCCAGCATCGCTGTCGTTATGAGTAAACTTTTGGTATCTGTACAGTCTGAATTACTGTTTCTGTAGTTTGATAGATCTTATTTAAAAGTTAAAGTTAAAATTTCGTCGCTTTCTTTAACCTGCCTTTGACGAGTCTATACTATAGTTGAAGCGTGTGTACCTAAAATTAAGCTTGGTGGAGCCAAAAAAAAAACTCAGTGGATGAACAGTACAGTTCTAGCTAAGCTGAAAACAAAGAAGGAAGCCTACCAGCGTTATTTACAGACTCGTAGCGATGCTGACTATAACCTATATGCAAGAGCTCGAAATCAAGCTAAAGAAAGCTGTCGCACCGCAATAAATACCCTCGAAAAAAATATTGCTAGAAATGCAAAAAAGAACCCGAGAGCCTTCTTTTTGTACGCTAGCTCGAAGTGCAAGATAAAGGACGGTATTTCTGATTTGAATGTAGATCAACGAAAGATATCCTCTGATGAGGGCAAGGCTAACGTTCTTAATCAGTTTTTCAGTAGCGTATTCACTGAAGAGGACTTGAACAGTATTCCAGCTATTGAGGAGCGCCCAGTCGCCTCTAAATCAACAAGTTTTGAAATACAAAAAGAAGAGGTTCTCAAGCGCCTTATCGCTGTAAATCCAAACAAGTCATGTGGACCAGACGGCTTCCACCCGAGATTACTCAAAGAGTTAGCAACTGTCCTAGCCGGCCCTCTGACGTCATTTTTTCGAAAATCTTTTAACGAAGGGATCTTGCCGACTGACTGGAGAGAAGCTCAAGTGACACCATTATTCAAAAAAGGGGAAAAAAGCTGCCTGGGCAACTATCGCCCTGTCAGTTTGACAAGTGTCGTTTGCAAGGTAATGGAATCTGTTGTGAGGGATCGATTGATAGATCATTTGACTGCTAATAATCTCCTATCAGACTGTCAACATGGCTTTATTGCCGGGAGATCCTGCACCACTAACCTCTTGTCTACTCTGAGCGAATGGACCCGCCTGCTGGACGAAAGGGAGCCAGTAGGTGTAGTGTACCTCGATTTTGCCAAGGCATTTGATCGTGTCCCACATGAGCGGCTATTGCGGAAATTGTAGTTTTTGGGAATTGACAGCAATGTACTCAAACGGATCAGAGATTTTCTAGTAGGGAGACGACAACGTGGCTATATTAATGGGTCCTTATCAGACTGGGCTCCAGTGCGCAGCGGCGTGCCACAAGGGAGCGTTCTCGGGCCTGTTTTATTCGTTACGTTTATGAACGATCTGCCAGAAGCTGTGTCTAGCGTGTGCTCGATGCATGCTGACGACACAAAAATTTTTAATACAGTGAAGAATACGTCGCAAAAAGTACAGTTACAAGGGGATCTTGAGAGGTTGGTTGACTGGGCTGATAAGTGGCAGCTGCGTTTTAACGCTGACAAATTTAAAGTAATTCACCTTGGCAAGAATAATGAACAGCAAGATTACAGTATGAGAAGACACGGTTGCAACGACAGATTGATGATGTCAAAGTCGACAATGGAAAAAGATTTAGGAGTTAATATCGACAATGAGTTGAAATTTTCTAAGCATATTGAAGGTCAAGTTATTAAAGCCAATAAACGACTTGGACTGATCAGACGCTCTTTCGAGTTCCTGGACGCAGAAGCGATGAAGCAGTTGTTTGTTGCTGTCGTGCGCCCGAACCTAGAGTTTGGAAACGTCGTGTGGTCACCGAAACTTGAAAAGGACAAAAATTGAGAGTGTTCAAAGACGTGCAACAAGGATAATTCAGGGCCTGAAAGGCAAGTCCTATGAGGAAAGATTGAAGATTATGAAGCTTCCAAGCCTCAGTTATCGACGTCGGCGTGGGGAACTCATTGAAGCATACAAGTATACTCATGGCTCATACAAGGTCCCAGAAGGAGTACTCGAATTTGAAACAAGATCCAACACCAGGGGCTACGGCTATAAACTAAAAAACTGCGTTGTCACACATCCATGCGACCACATTTCTTCTCGCTTCGAGTATATGTTCAGTCTTAAAATGCCTAGCAAATTACGGACCAGGCAATAAGTTCAGCAACTATCTCAATCAATCGTCAGTTATGGAAAGATCGGGTTCCAAAGGCCGGATCCATTGTAAATCAAGTCACGAAAAATTCAAGAATCGGTAACAGGCCATGGGCCTATTTCTTCAGTGCCGACACTTCTATTCTATTCTATATGGACGTGATCAAGAAAAAAAGTAATAGGCTAGTGGCAATGTCTTTCGGTCAGCATTTGTACTCAAGAAAAGAAATACCATCGAAATGATTTATGTACTTAATGTGACGCATTTATATAATGGAGATGAGAATATAACTGTTTGAAGATAGTCTATTTGGCTTGAGGTCCAAGCTCATGTTACAGTGAGAGACACCGGCACATCGGACACGAGGGGGAGAGAGGAGGGGTGTCAGATATGGGGGTGTGAGGCTTAGCTGACCCGCACCTGTTGTTCCACGGCGTCTCTGCGCAAATTGTGTTATTTTACTGTACTTAGGTAATTTTATTAGTAGGAAACAAATTATTCCCTTTTATCTTGTTCATTGCGGCATTGTCAGTCCCTCTCACCTCTTGCAGCACAAGGATGTTGTCGGCTGCACTCATGTACTGCAAGTGGTGGGTGACGAGGATGACGGCCTGACGACGCAGATACCCGCGGATGCAGAGGTCGAACAGCTGCTTCCCAACAGCTGCGTCGACCGCGTTTAATGGGTCGTCAAGCAATACCACATTGCCGTCCAGATACACTGCCCTGTGCCAGGGAGGAAGAAATTCACTGGTCGATCAAGGTCAGATGTACAATTTCGTATGATGCGACTGTCTTGAAGCTTATCTTGGGCAATCCAAGACATGGTTTGATCCTTCAGAAGTTCAGACTATTTGCTTGATTACGGGGGTAAGAAAATTTATGCACCTTTGCCGGTGAAGGATAAACGAATAATTTTAAGTTCAAAAACTTAACGTATAAGAACACCGAAGAAATTACTAGCGAAGAGAAGGGGGACAATGGAAGACGCATTTAGAAGTGAATGATAATGTTGATGTCATTGGGAGGCTTCGGAGAAGTTAGTTACAAAATCTTCGCAGTGGCGTCCAAAACTTGGCGTTGTCCAAAGGTCCAAGAGAATATCTAAAAGGGCAATCTGCTACGCACAAGCATAATGTTAAAGTTGCAAAACACATAAAGCAAAACTCTTCATTCAACTAACTTTTCCACCGGGCACCTTTATAATGTATGTAGAACCAGCTATTCAAAAGTTTTAAATTAGGAGTACTAGGTACCTACTTCTGCCCCTTTATACTTAAACTCCAACCCACACGACCTTACACGGTCATGCTGCACCCGGACGCCAGTTGTAGTAATCGCGTCTGGCATTTTCTGCCCCAAAAACTGGTCATAAAAATAATCAAATACACTACGACATTTGATCGACAAATGTCAGCAGTCGCGACCAGGTGCAGCTGTCCCGACGGCGACCACGGACTGACGTTACTCGCCGAGAGTAACTCACAGTAAAGACTAGACTCACCACCGGCATAAATAAAAAAATGAATCCCTAAACCTACCTCCTGAGTCCCGAGCGACTCACCTACAAACTTCACTTCCATCATCATCATCATTATCACACAATCCTCTTAGAAAAATGAAAAATACATAAAAAATGAAAAATTAATTGAAATACTTTGAAATACAGAAAGCGAATAACATGTGCATAGGGAGAGTAAATATTATTTTAATTTTGTTTAAGAGGACTCGAATATGTAAATACCGTAAATAGTGAACAACGATACTAAAATAAATTTATATTATGAATAACACAGACCGCGCAAGATTGATGCGTGCCTTCTGGCCACCACTGAGTGTTGTGCCGCGGTCACCCAACAAAGTCAGGTCACCCTGAGGCAACTGTTGGAGATCTGCCTCCAGACCACAAACTGAAAAATACAGTTTACGTAACCTGACAACTGTAATGATTTCCTTCAATTAATATATAATAATCAATTGCAGTGGATACCAATGCAAGAAACATAACGAATCTAATGCATCGGAGAACTAATTTCGCAGATGCATCAGATAACTAATTTGAAACAACAGAGCACTCAGCGCAGGTTTATCTGATGAATTACAATATTTTTCGTACCTTTGATAACTTCAGAGTACTTCTTTTGGTGGTATTTCTTCCCAAAGATGATATTTTCTCTGATTGATCCTGGGGAAAGCCAGGGCTCTTGCGAGGCATAAGCGATCGTACCGGAGACTTCAACGCTGCCCTGCAGCACTGACAGCTCGCCTAGCATGCAGTGCAAGAGGGAACTCTGCACCCATGGACGCATGATTACACGTGATCAGTTCATATTTTTCGTATCCACCTTTTATTCGTCAAACATTTATAAGCAATTATGGAAAACTTTCATCTTTCACAACTAATGAGACCATGAATTTAAAAAAATGTATTGAGGCGATAGAATTGAAACAATGAAAAAAATGGATATGTATGCCTATAGACTACGTTGAGATTTTACCTTGCCTGATCCAACTGGCCCCACGACCACGAGCAGCTCCCCAGCCTTCACCGCCGCGGTTATCTCACTGAGCGCGAGTTTGCTTCCTTCACTCCACTGGGCTGTCAGACCCTGGATCTCGGCACCGTGTCCGCCATCCTAGCCGAAAGAATACTGTAAATTTGCATGAAAAGTTTCATTTTTCTAACTAATTGGCGTTCAAAAATCTGTTGAATATTAATTTATAATACATATTTTCGACTCACTTCTTGACTAGGACAGATTTTTTCTTTGCAATTACTTGGTGCAAACGAGTAGCGTGAGCGAGGTTTACGGTAACTACAGAGCATGCAGGTATTGATATGAACAACTTACAAATACTCACCTTAGCTTTCGCGCGTAAGAAGTTGGTTGAGTTTCCATTTGCGTTACACGAAATTTCAGCGTGTGTGAAGAATGCCTGCAAGGAAAAATTATCATTACATTAAAAAAATAAGAATATCCATTATTATACAAATCTACGGCTACACACAATCTACGGCAAATCTACTATTATACAAATTTACGGCAAAAGTAAAAAAATAAGATAAGATATGAACCTAAGATAATATTCCATTAAAATAATCAGCAGGCCATCTTCCACTGTGCACTAATGCGATATTGATCCACGAACTTTCGCAATGTACAATTGACTTTCAAACGTGGTTATTACGTGTTGGTTGTTTTTTACAACATTATTGATCGACGGAATTTTCGCGTTATCTGGCTATTTAATTTCAATCTTCTCCGTGTAAATTTTGGTCTGTATGCTGATTATATTCTGTGCTGCTTTATTATAGTTTTAATTTGTTGATAGAACTGATCTCCAAAACATTTTAGATGAACTTACGAATTTTCAAATAAGATGAATTTTCATATCATATTTTTTACATTTAGATTCTTGGTTATTTTGCAATTTTAGCAATAATGATTTTTAATTAGTCCATGAACAATCTTCCAGGTTCTCGAGTTCGAAAAGTGTATACATATAAATGCTTTTGAAAATTTCGTTCATTTAAAAATGAGTTGGGTTCTGGTATTTGGTGCAGGATTTAATATAACACCGTTCTCTGAGATGAGTGGCCTTCCACGTATACATGATGAGCCTTAAAAAGACTGGAAGTTCGAAATCGTTATTAATGCAATAAGTATCGTCTGAACGACCTGAAAGAATTTAAAATGCAGCCAAGAAAACAATTATTGAAACTTTTCGTAAAATTATGTTAGATGAGAAACATTCAACTAGTCCTAATATCTGAATTACTTATTTCTATGTTAGCGCTAAGTTTTCATTTTTGAATCATTAATTAATTGTATTTATTACAATTGAAAAGCTCCCAGTCTTTTGAGCAACGTGTGATATCTTTGTTCGATCATTAACCCTGCCCCTTGATAATGTTCAATCTCATAATTGTAAACAAATGAAATAGTTATATTTACATATATAAGATATATGATACCATATTTTATATTTATTAAAAATATTAAATAAATTAGTAGACAAGATGAAAAAATAATAATTTTTCAGTAAAAAACCTGAAAACACACTTTGAAGATAATGAAAAATATTTTGCTATACTTTGCCGGAGTTCCGATTTGAAATCATCTCAATATTGTGTAAAGGTTGTCGCACCACCAACACCAGCAGACTCACCTGTAGTCTTTGGCACGACATCAGCGCTTCAGAGCCAAAGGATATAGCGAACGGGAAGCACATCGTCATGGAAATCCTGACGCTGTTAATCAGCGAACTCGTCACAAAGACCTGAATGGATAAAGTATGAACGTAATAGAGATAAAAAAAATGCTATTTAAGAATTGATCTTTTCATTATTCACAATTATTGAGACTGAATGAGTTCAACTTTCACACACTATGAACTTAGAGAAAGAGGTTATAAATTATTTAGCAATTGTAAATCCATTAGTTCTTGTAAGTTTTTTTTGTATGTTTGCGGTCATTTTTGAAATAAAATATGAAAGGCTATTCAAGTGGACATCCACAGGAGCTAGTCGGAATTTTAATTAGGGCTAAGTTTTTGAGTGTTGGAATCAATATGCTCTGCCAAACGGGGACTGGATTAAAAATTTGAACCATCTCAATTTATAATTTATCACGAGCGACTTTTCACAGTAAATGATATCCTAAAATTCCCATCAGAGTGTGGCAAATTTCTTTATCCCCGCAATCACTTTGCGATCTTAGTCAATTAATGACAGAGCTGGGGCCTGCAGAGAGATGCCTCTGAGTTCTGACACTACAATTCTTAAACCAAATAATAAAAAATATAATTTTAGACTATATGTCGAATATAATGTTGTACGCATTTCGAGGTTTAGTTGAATAAAAAGTAGCATGATATTTGTCTGCGGTTAAGAGCAGAGGAAAAGTAGGTCGAATTGAGTTAGTAAATAGTACTGGTACACATATACCGAATTCATCTTATTTCATTAGCAAATTGTGTTAATCATATTGTGCATTAAAATCTCAGTTCAATTATTAAAGAAATACATTGCTTAATTTATTCATGATTACTCATTTTGATTATTCTACTCGTAAGTAATTAAAAAGGGAATAATATTGTTTAATATTTAGGGTCCTGTCAATTCGTTATATTGCAGCAACTTGTAAGAAACTAAACTTAGTTCAAAATTTCGACGAATAACCGGACCCGAAACCAGACCACAGGTAGAAAACGTTGTACGTCGACAGTTCTGATATCTATTTCCAGTTACTAGATTTGAGATACTCTGTCTTTGAAAGACTAAACGTCTAGGGTGGATAAAATTCTATTTTGCAAGTTAAATCTAAAAGAACATATGAGAAAATTAGGACAACTGGTTTAAAATTAAATTTTTGTGCATAAAATGTCGATTGTAAGCAGTTGATTGAGTGGAAAATTTCGTAGAATATTGAAACGGAAATTAGTTCAGGGTTTGAACTGATGTTTCGTGAATGAAATTTATTTCAGTTATGAGGATAGCAGGGAGTTATAGGGTTTTATTAGGTTTATAAACGGGAAGGGTGTTCATATGTTTCAGAGATTATCTGTTCCAAGCAACGCTCTGATAGGTTTACAGGGCGTAAATTAAATTCACATAACTGGCAAAATTTCTTAAAATTGATTTTTGTTTAAATTTTTTTCTGTCTACAGTATAAAATGAAAAAAAATCGAGGGAGAAAACAACACACTTGAAATTTATGTATTATCAACTGATCTGTTCTTCAATGTCTCATTTCAACGCATGCCATCTTATTACCCTTGCCAGAAGCACACATTATAGTGGGTGAGTGCAGTGAGGAAGCGATTTACTTTTTCAGCGGTGAGAACGTTTCCAGTGACCACGTAGACTATAATGGTTAAGCAGACCGCCAGCTTAGCAGAAGTGAAGAACAGAGCCATGTTGACGGCCTTCAAGAAGTTGCTTTTGCGGATCGAGTCGATTTCTTTTCTAAAAAATATGGAAAGTTCACATAATGTTGCATATGAATTTTTGAAGAGGCTAAAACACATTTCGGCTCTTCGATACGTATGTTGTTCGAATAAAGGCCTCAATTCAATCCTTGTGCAAAATGTGCAACTAATAAAGTTTTAAATAGTCTCTAAATTTCCAAAATATTAGTTTGTAGAAACATGCGGCTATGTCTCAAATATTAGTTCAACTCATTTTGAGACATTAACTAAGAAGAGGTTCGAAATCAAATGAATGCATAGGGCACCAGGTGTTGCGTTGCATAGTTAAGTAGTCCGGTAATCTGGTAAATACATATCTCATCATTCACTATTAAAAGTTTTAAAATTATGGAAAACAAATTGCATAATTTTGGATTTATTCCCATGACAGAAATATGGCTGGGCATGAGCTTGATGTTAGCCCTTAGAAAGTAAATAAAGAAGATATTGACATGTTTAGATGATAGAAAATGGAGAAACAATACGTAGAAGAGCCGAAATATGAACCAATATATGGCTCGTTAACATATACCTTTAATACAGATGAATATCGGTTCAAAAGAAAATGAAGACTCCTGAATCTGGAGGAACTGAACAGCATTTCAGGGATCAAACTTAGTTTATAAAATCGTTTATTATATTCTGTGACATTCCACTCGGTGCCATTCTTTCCGAGTTGATATTGGCAAAATGCAGTTTTTAATAAAATGATTTTATTTTTTGGGCGATTTTATTTTTTGCAAATTCTCAATAATTATGAGAGTTCTGCATGCCAATAGTAGGTTCGCTTTCAATTTGCTGGCAAACAGTCTCAACTGGGAAATCGGGAACCTCCTTATTTAGTCGACTTAGGTGCAGTATTCAACAATGGGAGCAAATCAAAATTTGAACACTAAGTTTAATAAGGCTTTGACTTAAGCAATGGTAAATGCTTACTTCCTAGCCTCAGAAACAAGTGAGATGAAAGGATGTTCCCACGCAAACATTTTGATGACCTTGATGGCGTTGACGATCTCGTTCATGATGCACACGCGCTCGTCTGTGTGCTGTGCAGTCACTTGACGCAGGCGCGAGAACAAGTTCCCCATGTAGCCTGATGGTGCCAGAACGTTTTATGCGAAGCTGCTAGGCATCGTTTGTCTGCCGTGCAACGTCACTAGCGCGTTTAGGAATACAGAGTTTGAATTCACCTCAAAATCAAAACTAATAACGTTAAACAATTCCAAAATTCAAGAAAAATAAAAACACTGTTTATATCTTGGCGTGTATAAAGAGTTTAATAGCTTCAATTGCTTTCAGTAACAATCTCGCTGATTCTCGCAGGGGAACTCGTGCCTGTTAACTGCACGCAGTGTAACCCTTTAGTAAATCCAGCGAATTTTTTAGGCGGGTGTCTTGTACGTCCTTCACAAATGCATTATATAGTTATGCTGTTTGGTACTCCAAACCAGATTCCATTATATTTAAGTCACGTATTATTACAAGGTACATTCATTATGGCACTTTGATCATTTATCGCTCCTAAAAATTAAAATTTGCCGTAAAGTGACAAGTAAATTAAAACAAAGATGGGAAATTGGTGCCAGTATTTTGAAGATATGGAAGGACCAGTGCTGCCTTGCTATTGCGTCAAGAGAGTTTGTGAGTTGAGGGTCGTATGTTTTAATGGTGGATTATTTTTCGCGCTTATTGATGGAGGGATGTGTTTATGGTGTGAATGTCACCTTGCTTGAGTAGTGTGTTAGTTAGGATACCAGTTTGTGTTGGTGGTGAATCATAATGCTTTGTTTTTGACTTCTTGCAGTTGGGATATTGCTGGCTGTTTTGGATGAGGTGTTAGGGATCAAGGGATATAGGAAACGATCTAACAAAGAAGAGGAATAGGGTGCGTTATACGTAGAGGGAAGTGTTAGAATCTGTATTGTTTTTGTGTTGATTGGTAAGGTTGTACGGACTATTGTATTTTTAATTGTTTCTCTGGATATAGAACTGTGTGTTGTGAGTTTTACTCCTAAAACTGTTCGGTTGTTTTTGTATGTATAGAGCGTGTTTTCTCTGTAGGATGTATTTCGCTTTCTGGTCAGATCATTTGCGTTTGTCCTAATGAGCAATTGTTTGTAAAGGTTTTATCCCGTTGTATGGAGTTTGTTTTTGAAGTGCTGAGTAGCTGTGTGGGTAGAGTATCGGAGTTATTTCTGTTATTTCGTCCGCAAACGCTATGTAATCTTTATAAGTAGTGGTGGTGATAGGTCATGGATATAGAAGCGGCAGAGAGTATTAGAGAGCGAAGATCTTTGAGGGCAGCTGTGTGGGGTTGCAGAGAACCTAGATAATTGCCCATTCTGATGGATGCTGTTCTGTCTGCGATGTAGTCTGAAAGTGTTTTTTAAAAGGCGGAAGGCAATTGCGTTGAATAATTAGTATTGCAGTCCGTGTGTAATACATCATCGAAGGCTTTGCACTCACACAAATCACTGCGTACCAATGACGCACCAAAGTGTCTATTACGGATTGTCTCTAATGACTTGGCAAGGGCGGGTAAGCCGTCACTCAGCCAGCCGGAGCGCGTAATTCAAGCTACTATTAGCGCGTAAATATGAGAGCTTCAATGAGGGCTCCTCATGGCACTGACGACGGATAATAAGGCAGACTGTGATGACTAATTTTATTGAGAAACGTCATGAAAACTTCTTCCACAGACGCTCTTGAATTGGAAAAACGCTCACGATTGTCAGATCGTTTGACCTTGCATGATCGACCGCAGCTGTTTGTCTAAGACACGAAAGAAACCATGCATGTTCTCTCCATTGCGTAATATTTATATTTTATTCGGCAAATTAGAAGTGTAGCATGAAGGATAATTTAGTTTCAACCGTTGATCCGGCCTATTGTTTTTTTCTAATTCATTGTGAATACAAAAATTTGTCATACCACAAATTACGTTCGAAAGCACGAAAAACAAAAATAAAATAAAATATTGGAGGAAGTTTCGACTACGTTAATCTACATATTATATAGGTTGTAATTGACGTGTGCAATTGTACTTTCTGCGCCCAAGTTTTAAAAAGGCAATGTCAACGACTAAATACTCACACTGTAATGGTATGGAGATGACGAGCAGCGCTACGCCTGCAAACCCTGGGAATCCAAATATGTGATATAGCAGCCCCATCACCAAGCATAGCTGTAAGTCAGTCAGGACGGAACTAATATTATCTAGATGAGACGTTTGAGATCTGTTTCTAAAATTTGCCATTATTTTGAAGCTTTTTATTTGATTCGGCGCAATTTTGCTCGAAAATTGAAAGTTGAAAATTAGATCAAATCGAAAATTGAAAAATGCCTTTGTGTCTAATGCTAGTGAGAGCTAAAATGATGCCATTCTTTCAATTATCGCCAATGCTTTTCCAAACAGCGTATTGAAGTAATTTTGGTAATTTAAAATAGTGGTACCTTTTCAGGCTACGATTAGAGGAAGATTCAAGCTCAGTTATTTCATAATTTTATTTTGTGTTGAACTTAATACCATTTTCTCGGCAAAGATATGGTACCCATTATGACAGCAGTGCTGAAGTACTTTATGAGAGAAAACTGTACGAACAACTCAACTCCAGAATAAAATCCTCGCAAAATTCGAAAATGGCAAACGTGTTTCCTGAATGCATGAAATCTGTCACTAATATGAATTAAAGAAAAATAATTATCGAGTCAGACTATGAACAGAACATTCATGTGAAAAATCCTCACGCATATACTTTCTGAAGCTTAGGAATAGATTTATCAAATTATAAGATATGCTTTCATATAGCATGAACTCGATTGGTTCTTGACCTCACATCTGAAATTGATTCGGGTCGATAACTGAGATCCCACTGCATAAATACTTAATTGTATGCATTTAAATTATGATGTCTTACAAAAAAAACTGAACCTGGAAATCAGTAAAACATTTTCAGTAAGTTACGGTATGTGGAAAATCTTTCAGTTATTCGGGAGAAAACAGAATACAAGTTATTACCTGTGAAATGCTCACCTGTACCGGTCCAATCCATAAGTAATTACAAAAGACGAGAGATGTGTCGAATCTGTTGACGTCGTTGGATAAAAGGTTCACCATTTGTCCCACAGTCGTGCTGGCGAGAGCTGACATACTCAGTTCAATAACAAGTGAACCCTCAGACTCAATAGTAGTTGAATCGTCAATAATCACTTGTATTTGAATACTATTTGTAAGAACCGAATTTAAATTTTAACAAGCATTTTCTTTACCTTGAGAACGGAAATAGCAATAGAAACATCGGGAAAGTAGCAATAAGTCGAAAAAACCGAGTTCTTACAACTAAGCACATTCTATCCTGACGTTAGAAATTTCCACAAAGCTCTAAGATGGAAAGCACAATTTTCCTAGACGAAAGACTGTGATTTTGAGATTACTCTACCAAAATCATAGGAAAAATTCAGAGCTCTGGCGGTCAATCTGTTACCACTGCAGTTCATAGTCTGCATTTGGTTATATATACTGTATATTGAGATGATTTGTCATTAATCTTGTCACGACAATCACGAACTTTTCTGTAGATAAGTCCACAACTGGCGATTCTCATTTGCATGCCAATATTTTGGACTCTCCACAGGTATGGGTAGTACGTCAAAAGGTAGAGGAGCGAGCTCAGGATGATGCCTGTTCCGAACGCCCATCTCTTCCACGCTTCTTCGTAGCCTTGTACACCTCCCAGGTGACGTAGCAGCTGACCCAGTAACACAGGCTGGGCGATTCTGGCATTGATAGGGAGCGGCAATCGCTAGGAGCAATCACTTTTCGGATTTTTCTATTAAGTTTCTTCCAAATAAAAAATGATCCTACGAGTAATATTAAAACGACTGAACAAAAAAAGTTTGGTTTCCCTCGCAAGGATCAAAGCATACTTTTATCTCATCTTATCAAAGAATATAACAACATTGTTGCCACATGAAGCAAAGATGTACAGCCAGCAAGTTAATTGATTGATCCTTTTCCAAAAAAATTATCAAATGACTTTGACGATAGATTTTCAACTATCGTTAAATGCAGCTTTGTAATTACTTTCATGAGCAAGTGTGGTTTGTGCATGTTTAAACTCATTGAAATTTTCTTATCGACTGAAGCATTCTTCTGAATAGCACTTGGATTGCTGGAGCGTTCTTAAAATCATATTTGTTTTTAACACTAAAAAATTTTACAACACTCAGTGCATAAACGACTATTGATTCTGAGGCGTAACCATAATGAACAGGATCGAAATTTAAAAGTCACTTTCATTTGTAATTCAGTGATATCAATAGCTTTAGCATCTCGTCTCTATTTTCCAATACAGAAAAATCTATCTAAATTCAGTCTGTAGGAAAATTTAGTAGCTGAAATAAATTTTGTTCAGACACAATACTGTTGTATCATTATGGGTTTCTCACTCGATATTCTAAGTTTATTACGTACAGTAATATACGTTTGCTAGGAATCGAGATGAAAAAATCTTAGTTCCATGCAAATAATCGTCTTTTTAATTTTGTTAACTATATTCTTTTACCTGAGGATGCACTCCGCAAATGCTGCAAAAAGTCCTGCTTGGAGACAGCGGAAACCAAAGCAGCGCATGAGAGCTCGGGCATAACTGGGCCGAGGCTTCGATTCCTCTTCGTGCCAAAATCTACAGCAAAACAAGCCCTCTCGAGTAGAATAAAATAGAGATTACATATTATGCATGTACTTAGTTATCTACTACCGCATTTTCAATGTGGTCGACAATTATAATTCCACCAATACACAGTCTAGTTGATTGTTTAGATCCGACACTGCTGGAGGTAGGTCAATTGGGCGAAATTATGGTTGAAGTTGAAACAAGCTTAGTCCAGTACTTCGAACAACCGAATACTTTATTAGCTAGTCAGTAATAATTACTGCAAGAAATCGCACGAAATCATTACATTGGTTGCTATTTATTTTGCTTGCATCCTTTTCGCGGCGATTTGTGCACGTTTCTATTTTCCTGCTCGTAATTTTAATTATTATTCTGCATCAAGGGAATCATACATAGATTTTACAATAAAAATT